ATGAAGAAGAAATAAGAAGAATGCCTAAAATTATCCAGTAGTAATAACAATGGATGAAATATGGGAGTTGTTTCTTTTTGGCTATCAGTTACAATATAGTTAAATTCAATACACACTCATTGAGTTTAAAACACATGGGTTGCTTAAAAAACTCATTTTGCCCCTGAACTGAGGATGTTGATAGTATTTATGTTAACTAAAAACATGGACAAGGCCAAGCAACCTACCCTAAAACGTAGGGAGACAAAGTCAACTCTTGCCTTCAGTGGGGAAGGAAAGAGCAGTCGCTATTGTATTCTCAGATAACAGACAAGAACTCAACCTAACAAACACACATTTCATGGTATAAGGAAGGATTCTGGGTGCTATGGAGGATGATACGAGGATTAAAACAAATGTGTGATTCTTTATGTTTGCTAAATGGATCAGGAGAAAGTAAATATGTATACAAAGCCTGTGGACAGAGCTGAGCATGCTGAGGGCATATACGTGTGTGTGTGTGTGTGTGTGTGTGTATGTTTGGTATGGAATCACTGATCTGCCCCACGCTTCCATGTAAGTGGTGCTGTGTGCAGAGGGAAGGAGAGCACAGAGCAGGCTCCTCCTCAAGTGTCTTCTTTGCAAGCACGGAACCCTTTCCCTGGTAGCGGGATCCGAGCCCCAGTGCCCACACAGGCCGGAGCCTGGGCACCAGAGGTTCTTCCTGTTCATTTCTAGAGGCTAATGCGCTTTCTAGGTGAAGTATATGTTTTTCAAGTCAAAACATCAGCTTCTGAATTAGTTTTAAACGTTGACACTTTTGGAAGCAGGCGCATCTGGTCACTATCTCCCGAACGCTTCCCCTGCAATGGACACTACTGGGCACGGGCATGGCTGACAGTAGAGAGAGATTCTTTTCCCAGCTGAAAACTGACTTACAAACAAGACCTATGAAATCAATTGAGATGATAACATACATTTTACAGTAATCAGATATTACTGCAAATTTGAAGACTGAATTAAACCAAGGGGAAACTAATTGCTCTGCTTTGTTAAAGGCAATCCTTACGGCGCTCTCCTTTCAGGTGTGGCATGACTTTGAGACTGTCCACGGAGCCTTTTTTTGGCCTTTGACTCATCAAACCCAGGCTCAGAGAGACCAGAACCTTCTGTCCCAGACCTTTTCTTAACAGAAAAGATAAACACAAAAGGCTACAAGAGCAGGTGCTCAAAAACGGGGCCTGGGACAGGAGTCTACATATCGAAGGCCCGAGAAAGGGTGAGAGTCTTCACCTTCTAATCCGGACACCAAAGAATCCTCTAACTAACCAATGCACAACCCACAACCCAGAACCCACAACACCAACGCGCGAGGAGAGTGCAGGAGGGAGTTCCCACACGGCTTCACATGGACTGGGGACTGTGCTCATGACAGCCTCACAGGTCCCTGTCTCACTGAGGACAAGAGGAGGGCACCTGCTACTTCCCAACCTGAGGGAGTGGTAGGGCTGGCAACCCCAACGCCTATGAAATGGGGTCAATTACCATCAGGCGGAAAGAGAAAACTCAACATCAGCTTACGCCTTATTTTTATTTAGACTTATATCCATCTTGATGAAATATTTTCCTTTAATTGTGGAAAAACCTAGCAGGAGAACTGACCAACGCAAGCTAAACTGAAATGTTATTGTATACAGAAGGCCTGTCCTCACTCTGCAGATTGCCTTCCCATAAAAATCCAACAGAAAGAACTCTTTCTCCATTCAGTCAGAAAGAGTCATACGTTACTAACGAAGCTGAAAAAACCCTCCAGTTCCAGACTGTCATTCATAAAAAATGATTTCCATCTAAGCATCATCGTGTTGCACACAGAGACCTTTTGGTAAGATGATATGCTAGTCAGACTTAGAAACAGGAAAGCCAGAAGTACACCAAGTCTACGCCCTTCTATGATGGGGAACTACTATTTCCTTTGATAATTATGTCCCCCTGTCACTCATGTTCCTTACCTTGTCAAACATATTTATTAGTACCCCAAGTCCAAAATTTCCCCTTCGTATCTTTTCCCTGGAGTGGCAACAAAATTAAAGTGTGATTGCTTTTATGAATAACTGTCACTGACAAGATGACCAATGACTTTTACAATGAAAACAACTGACTTTATTTCATAAAGTACAATTAAGATGTTTGTAAAATCATATCCCAAATTTCCTAAAGACTATCCTAATAACCATTTTAAGTGCATGGCCTTTCCTTGATAATACAAGGTCGGGTACTGAAAGGCCCTCACATCGTGTATTTCGTTGTTCAGAACCTCTCATAAGCCAAAGCTGTGAACAAACCATACTACACAGAGGGAATAACTGAGATACATTAAGATAGTAAAAGAAAATGAGGCCAAATGTCAACAATAAATTCAGACATCACACTTGAAGCTAACAGATAGTTAACCTCCTTGAAGTTACTTGTACTCTCGATCTTAAAAAGCTAAAAATGTGTAATTTAAATATTCCTCTCCTCTACCATAGCATTGCTAACTGGAGTGTGAAATCAAGCATTACCACATCGTTTCTGCCTGATGAGATAATTTTGGTTTTCTTAGGAGGATTATGCCAATGCACTTATTTTTGCCAGAAAATAATTTTACTTTTTATTTCGCAAGAAACTAATATTTGCAATGACCAATTCCAGTTGTGTTGACTTGCAAAACCATACGATGAAAGATTGAAATAAGTATAAGAACCAATTTATTTTTATAGAATATTGCTCAAGTTTAGAGCAAGAAAACAATTTCTAAAGACAGAGGCTGGCCCTAACCGGTTTGGCTCAGTGGATAGAGCGTTGGCCTGCAGACTGAAGGGTCCCAGGTTCAATTCCGGTCAAGGGCATGTACCTTGGTTGCGGGCACATCCCCAGTATGGGGTGTGCAGGAGGCAGCTGATCGATGTTTTTCTCTCAATAGATGTTTCTAACTCTCTATCTCTCTCCCTTCCTCTCTGTAAGAAATCAATAAAATATATATTTTTTTAAAAAGACAGAGGCTAAATGTATATTTTATACTCTCGCTGATACCTTTATAGTTTTCTCAAGTAAAATGACTTAAAATCAACTTCTGTAAAGTTAGAAGCTTAAATAATTTTTCCATTATTGTTTTCATATTTGGTTGAATCATATCTTCCTTCTCTTTTCTCCTTTACTTCTCATAAAAAAAAAACCAGTCCTCATGCCAAGAAAAGAATCTGATATTTGAATAACTGTGTAGACCCCCTAGTTATTTTTTTTAAATTGGGTTTATGGAAAAACTATATTCTTTCCATCCCTAACGCAGAACTTTTAATATATACATTTATTTTAGACACTCTTTATATGCAGTTTAGTATGAATAATGTCAATAAACAATAATCAAGCTATATTAAATCAAAACTAAGTTTGTAAGTTTATATTATACCAAGTTTGCCCAACTTCTCACTTTTCACCACATAGTTTTGGCACGGTATAGACAAGTGATGGCATTTTTTAAAGAAGGTAGAGTTCAAAAACAATAGCAAATTACTGCTAATTTCTTCTTGATGGGTGCTATTAACACCTATTAACATCAATAAGAGGAACAAGGTTGTTTCCAGCACAAAATATCAGTCTAGTCTATATCATTTAGAAACAAATGAAAACTTTGGAAAGGAATTTGAACATACCAGTAAAATATAAGATTTTTGTGTGCTGTTCTTTGATGAAGTGAATCACAACCATAAATCAGAAACAGCTTTTGAAAATAAGTATGACTATCAAGCTTTTCTAAAGGCAATTCTAAACTTGTCACTCACGCAAACATTTCCACCTTAGAAAGTACTAATGCCTTACATGCCATTTCCTTAAGGAAAGCGGACACTTTCAAAGGCAAGAACCTTTTGTCTTTTACCCTAAGCATAAAAAGAAATATTTCAGTAAGGAATGGAAGAAAATGAAGCGCATTTAAATAATCTCTTTGTGCTGGAAGTTGCCAATTCGTCTGTGAGCAGTTTCACTGCAGATGAAAAGAAATCAAAATACAGGGCAGATGTTGAACAAACCGCATTTTCGTTCTGTCACACACCGGCATTTTTCAAATGATTTTGGCTCATCTATTAAATAAGGTGCATTTTGCTTGATTTTGAAAAGGGAAACATCAGGAAATATTTAAAGGCCAATTGCTGCCAATTAACTTCGATCAGTAAAAGTTCTACTTGAATCTTTCAGATTCTTCTCCTGTCTGAAATAACACACATTTATAAAATCTAGCAAAACAACAACTTGATGACTAATGGCTGTTAGCAGCTCTACCACAAGCTCGCTTAACAGCAGGATTTAAATAAACAACTGTCTCTATTAAGAAGGGAGTGCAATGTAGTTATAGTCACGTTGTCTGAGAATGGAGATATGAAAAACAATATTCTTTATTCTTAAGAATGCTGCTCATCAAGACCATCACGTTTGTCACTGCCCATAACGCCTTCAATGAGCCATCTGACACGTTTCCCCCCAGATGATGATGGACAAATAAAATCATCAGCAGTTTCACATGAGAAATCCTGGTGCCCCAACAGCAGAGATCCGACTGAAATGTCATGCAAACGACAGGGCCAGTGAAAAAGGAAAGCACCCAACGAAAGACAGTGAGAGCCTGACATGAACCGCATATGCAAGTATCACAAGTTCTGTTGGGTTCTAAAGGCAATTCATCTCAACGGTGATGACGTAACCGAGAAATCTGTAGTTTCTGCTAATCAACACAACTTAATATTTAAGATCTTTGACCTCAAATTTTCATCCTTATCAATGGTTATACGGCAATCTAATTTTGAAACACAACAGTCCAAGTAAAGCATAACAAATACCATGAAGGCAAAATGCATTACTATATACTTGGCAATTACTTTGCCTCATTATCCCAATTATATATTCAAAAATAATATCCCCTTATTGTAAGACCAATCATCCATTTTCAGGCATATAACATGAAGCTTATATAAAATAACTGAACTTACTTCTAAGTCATTAAAAAATAGATGTGTGTCTGCCAAGTTGAAAATCATTTCTTCCATTCGCAGTCCAAGGGAAACTGAAGTAGGCGGATCCTAAAAGAAGAAATTTTACAGGTCAAGAAAATGTATTCTTCAGGTGACATGAACTATATTGTCACATTAAGAGGGAGTGAGTGTAGGGAAAGGCCCAAAGTGATCGTTGGGCGGCTTGGGCTCCAGTTGCCTTTGGTGTGCATGATTTCTTCTATATGCAAACTTCAATGATTTATTTTATTTAAAAAGTTCCCCTAATTTTGTTGGTACTTTGCATAAGGAAGAAATAACTTGCTGCTTAAAATATTAAAAAATATATAAAATCTAGGGTTACTTAGACATGCTATAAAGTAGAGGAAATTCAGCTTCGCACTTAGGTTTCAGGAGCAAGAAAGTCAGTGAATCAAGAAGACATTGCTTACGTTACACCACAATCCATTAAACATGTCTAAAAGCATTACCACAAATATTAGAAAATAGGTACAATATACATTCACTTCTGAAGGGCAGTAATTTTTTATTGATTCAGACTGCCTGCCAATTTTGAGTATACTTAAAAGTAGGAAGTGATGGCCACTCTGACCACCTGGCACCATGCCAGCTCCGGGAACATATTTAACATTCATGTGACACTATCCAGTCATCAAACATCCAGTACAATACACAGAGAGATCCAGTGACTTCTACTCAATGCCTCACACAACCCATACCCTGAAGACATTTACTGGCACTGAGGCAAACTCAGGGGAATATGGAGATATTTTCAGATTTTATGGTGTTGCTGTATTCCTAATGTAACATGCTGAGGAAGCAAGATGGGTCATGATGAATATCCTGCACAATCATGAAGAAGGAAAAATAATTTCTGTCGAGAAAATATTCAAGGATGTAATGTGCGTGTTTGAAAATTTTATTGACATTCTAATAACAATACCAACTTTCACAGGTCCGGCACTGTCACATTTTCCCAAAGAACAATAATTTCTGATATACTGTTTTATTATTACAGCAAACTTTTCGGAGAAAGTCGGAATCTACCTCACCATCATTGATCAGGGAAATTGGAACTAGAGAAAGCATGCCTTCACATAGGGCACACATCTTTCTGGTGCACTCTGTCTACCACGAGTCCTTGAGTCTTATGTTACAGTCAGGGACACAAAACCCAGAGAAAATAAGATTCTTGTTTTCTAATACTGTCCGACATAAACCTTGTATGTTTTCTCTATTGTCTTCCTTCCAAAGCTCAAGACGTGCCTGGCTTACACTCTACTGTCCATGTATCCACAGTCTATCATCCCGAGGATTTACCCCAAGTGCCACTCATGGGCTTTGGGAAGTCGCAGGAAGTGACAGGGAGGAGCCCCTGGCCCTGAGCTCACTTGCCCTCTCCTAGAGCCTCAGTTTGCTCATCTAATAAGTCAGATGGCTAGATGCAAACACACTGTTCTCAGAGAATAAATGGAATAATTTTTTTCTTATAATAAAAAAAAATTCTCGTCTCTTAATTTGGCACAATCATACCTGCTTGTACACCTGGGGAGAGCGGGCCTGTGATGGGGCGAAAGGGTCAGAGACTCCTTGAATGCCTGCCAGGGGCCAATCAACTGTGGCAAGGGAGGCGGAGTCAACCCTGCCAACCCCGCCCACCCACAGCACTAGCCCCGCCCACTCCTTGCCAGCTCCACTCAGAGTCTAAACAGAAATCCCAGAGGAGGGCTTGGCACCTCTGGTCTCAATTCCTCTCCTGCGCTAGGCCTCCTCTGCCTGCTGACTGACTGAAAGAAGGCAGAGAACACAGAATCGCCAAAGGTCGGGGCTTAGGTTGGCACGGGGTTTCACAAACACCCCGGCGTTTATAAGAGGGCAGAGAGGAAAGACACACCAAGGCCACTGAGTGTGCAAGAGCTGTGCGGCAGGGACCGCAAACCCTTCCCTCAACTCCCCTGTGCGAGGACTCACACTCCTTAGCCCTCTCCAACTGTCCCTGTGTACCACCACCGAACACCTCTGACATTGCATTGGTTGAGAAGAATTAAGAACAGTTGACAAATAAGTAAAGGCAAACTCGCGCTGCCCGCTGCTTTCATGGGGAATGGCTCACTTGCTTCCATTCGCAGTATGGGCAAGCATGCTGGAAAGGCACATACTCAAACATGCCCCGGAGCAGAGTTACCCGTGGGGGCGGTTCAAACAGCTGTTTCTAAAGCAAAACACCTGAGGGAGGTGTTTACTCCCTCTTGTTCAGGCCAATAAAAGTGCGCTGAGTTGTCGCATAACCAGGCCCATGAATCTTTTTATGTGGCGCCCAGAAGAGTTTCACTGCCAATTCCGGAATTTATGTGCCATGGTATTGTTACTTTTGCAGGAGCATTATTCCTCCTTGATATGGTTGCTTATTTATGCCGCCATCAAAAGAACTACTGCATTGTTTGCTAATATATGGCATATTTAACTTTTCTTCATAAATTAGAGTAATGGCTTGCCAGTCGGAATACTAATAAATTTTAAAGGCTTGTTCAGTCTCATGGTCAAATACGACACAGATGTTGGCCTTATTTACCTCTGAATGTTTTTCTCTTTTGTTACGAGCTTTCATGCCTTCACAGTGTCTATCCCTGCCACTCCACCGTGTTGTGAACCGTCTACTACACCAAGAGAACAGCTTTCAGATTTAAGTGGAATGAGAGAATTTTAGAATAGGAAGGAGCAGTGTTTATCAAATATTTTTCAAACCACGATCCACAATAAAAAAAATATATTTTACACCATGTTCTAGAAATACCGCCCACTCGCCCCCCCCATCTCTCTCTCTCTCTCCTCTCTCTCTCTCTCTCTCTCTCTCTCTCTCTCTCTCTCACGCACACACACACACACACACGCACACACACACACACACACGCACACACACACACACACGCACACACACACGCACACACACGCGCGCGCGCGCACACACACGCACACACACACGCGCGCGCACACACACACACACACACACACGCACACACACACACACACACACACACACACACACACATACACACCACACAGCTGAAATAATGTAAGTTTGGCAAAAGGAGCCTCTGCTCACCGCATGGGGGGTACTCTGATATTCCCCATTTCATAGCCCACTGACGTGTCACAATCTACAGTTTGGGAAGCTGGGGGGGGGGGACACCCACTTCTGACTGGAGAGATGGGAAACCTGGCGGCGGTGTGATTTGCTTGTGGTGACAGAGCTGGCAGGGCGCGGAGCCGTCTCACGCTTGGTGTTTTCCCTAAGAGCAAATGAGCAGAAGAGCGGGCAGATAGCCGTGTCCGCAGATTTGCTTACACGTTCTGGCATCGGAGTTCTTCTCACATCGAGGTTCGCTTTTATTTTCCTGTTATCATAGTCTTCTAATACTTTCCTGAGGTGTCAGATATGTCTGACACAAACCAAATGCGACAAAAGCTCACGCTGAGCAGTCAGTAAGTTAGTCATGGCTTGATGGCTTATTTGGGCATATTTAGAAGAAGAAGAAAAACACATTTTTTTTTTAAGACCAAAACTGAGATGGTCCAATCACCACATCTCTGGCTTAGTCTTACTTTTCTTGTGCTTTTTGCAAGAATAAATTCCAGGGCTGCAGTTATGAAATGGTTGCTTTTAAAACACCATGTTTTGTTCGATCACTTTTGAAAAATTATAGAACTTTGCTTCCACATCAAACAAACATCTCTTTTTAAGTAAACTTTTCTGCCAAATCTTTCCATTCTTTTCTGAACTTGACCCCTCTGTGGCAGTGGCCAGTGCTGTCTTATCTTGACATTTCTCCTTCCCTGGTGCCTGTCACATCATCAATCTTTTCTGAACATCTTCCTGTAATCGACTGTCCATCACCTGTTCTTAAAGGATCCTGGTCCCATTCCTCACTTACTCACAGGCCCTGCGGACCCCACCCTCTTCATGCCTCAACCACTGCCCCTCTCCCCTCTATTTAATCAGGTCTCAAGTGCAGGCTCACACACCGATGACCTGTTGGTGGTTTCTACTTGGATGTCCTGCAGAGCACCTGGTACTCAATGTGCTAGAAATTGGAGTCATTTCCCCTGGAACCCACTGTGTTCCTTCTTCAGGAGAACAGCACCCGATCAGCCCCAAACCTTGGCATCTTCTAAACAGCCTCTCTTTCCCCCACATCAAGTCAGTCTCAACACCCTGCCCCTTGGACCTGGAATCCACACCCTCCTTGTAGTCACCGCCCCGTTAATTTCCCAGCCATGCGTCTGTTTGGGAGATATCTTCAACCGGCTCCCTCAGGGGCTCTCAGCCCAGGTGTCACCATGTCCGTCCCATTCTCCCATCTCTTTTAGGAAACATCCAAACACATCAGCAAGTACGGGGGCCCACAGATGTCTGGCTCTTGTTTACCTCCCCAACACGTGACCTAGTTATAGTTTAATCATAACATCTTTTCTTCAGAAGATGACTAGGCAGAGGCCTAATGGGAAAGCGAGGTGGCTCTGATGGCAGTTCCCACCGAAGACCTTAAAGAAAACTGGGGCAAGCATCTCCCCTGGCTCCCCACATTAATACACCGAGGGCTCTGACCCAGCCGAGCCGATGTACTCACCTCCTGCATCCCTGTGCCCACAGCGCTCCTCCCACCGCCCCTGCCTCAGCTCAGTCTCCTCCCTGACTCCTCCTACCTGCTCATCAGTGCTGGGTACCACAGCTGTATGTGTACTTGTCTAAGGAGGGCAGAGACTTATCCCTACATACTTCTCTCCTTAGGACCTAACACAATGCCAGGCACAAGGGCTTTCCCAGTTTGGTAGAAGAACGAACAAATGAAAAGCAGTAAATAGAGAATATAGGGTATCCCTCCAAAATGTGTACACACACTTTGAATAATTATAAAGGCAGTGTTTATCAAAATACATTTCCTTTTCAAAATTGAGCTATCAGCTGTTAAAGTATGTATGTATATATTTTTTGGGACACTCGGTATTTCAAATAACTCTAATGAAGAAGAAAAAAATATAAAATTTGATCTGTCGTTAGTTGCTATTGT